ACTTAAATTAGGCAGGCTAGCCCCACCCATCCTTACTGGGAACTATTTGAAACATTTTTAGGAAAGAAAATGTGACCCATTTTTTTCTTAGCTAAAACATTTCAATTTATAAAGATAAATTACTCACCTAGATCCATTGTTTCCTGTGGAACAAATATGTTGTCTTCTCTTACCATTGAATAATGGAAAGTCAACTCAAGGGCTAATAAGCGTTAAAAGTATCCTTTGTGGAAAATATCAATGGCACAAAGACACCAACTGCCTAAACCATGAAGGAGAAGTAAGCCTGGTAGACCAAACATGCACGTGAATAACTAGTTCGGGTGTCATGTCTGAGCCAATGCTTGCTTAGAGTCTACAGAGAATATTTGTGCAGTTTCCACCTTTATGCCCTAGATAATATTAGGTCAGGGCTGTTCTGTTACAGTTTACGGTGTGAGCAAAACTAAAAACAAGGAGAGCCAGTCCATTGTGCATGGTGACTAGATGCTGCCAAAGGGGAAAAAACAAATACAAGGTGGGAATACAATCATCAGACAAACCCCACGTTCATTTTATTATGCCAAGTCCATGGGCCTCTGCAACCAAACCAAACCCTCTAATGTCCAGCAGACCCAGCTTATAGACAGCATGGAGCTTAGAGGAGAGCCGTGCTCAAGGGCCTCCAGGGTAGGAGGTCCAGGGAAGCAGGCTTCCACATCTGCCTTCTTGGAGTGGCTGCTGGATTCAAACTGAGGACCTTCCAGTTAGCAGCTGAGCTCTTGAGCACTGAGCCATCACAACTCCTTAATAAGTCTTTGGGCCACATAAATGTGAATACATAGTTTTAACTATTACAACAATGGCAGCAGAGCTCTATTCACAATTACCCTCCTCTAGCAAGGACCCATGACAATAACAAGAGCTATGTATAAAAATTCAATTCTCAAAGCGACAGCCTTTTTTTCAGTCTTCAGTTAAACGTCAAAGAAAGCTCTTTTAAGGAAGATATCCTCTGCTCTTTGGGGGGCAGTGGGTTAAATGGTGGGCTACTGACCTTTCCAATGCCACTCCATTGAAGGGTGAGGAAGCTGCCTGCTTACAGAAAGACGGACAGTCTTACAAAACAATTCACTCTGCCCTAGAGAGTCCCTGTGAATCTGAATTGATTCAAGGGCAATAGGCTTTGTAGTTTCTTCAGGGAGAGTTCCACTGATAAGAGAGGTCACTTTCTTTGACCTTTCACTATGTGCAACCATGGGTCTTCAGGTGAAGTTTGTACTTTCCAATCATTTGCACCGCAATTCAGCTACAGGAAAAATAGCATCAAAATCGCTATTGCTGGACTGGGACTTCCTGTTCTTTTCTGAGGGATTTCCATAACTCTTCCACCTAAAAGGTGGGGAGCAGACATTCATGTGGAGCCGAGTGACTTGTTCATACATGAAAACGTCATACAAAAGGAAATCAGAGACAGAAATGTGTGTCAGAATTCCCAAATCGCCGCTTCAGTCCTTGACTTGTGGAAGACAACCCTCCGGGTGCTTCTCTGAACGGCTGCAGACAGTGACTTGTTTCCATCCACTTTTCTCCTTGCAAGTCCATTCAAGGACTGCAGTCCAGAGTGGATTTATGATGAGACAATTTTTCTTTTCCATCCAACACAAAGACTTAGGAAAAATGGTTCAGCAAGTAAGCAGAAATTATTGGAAGCTTTGTAAATGACACCGAGCATAAAGTCAAAACAATTAGCAACATTTATGATGTTTTAAAGATAATTATCAGTTAATTTTCATATGAACCCTGTTAGGTGAATAAAGAACAAAAATTTAGCTCTGATCAAAAGATAGTTTCTTTCATGAAGGCAAATAATAAAAAATACTTATCCCAATAATCACAAGCTCCCCGCTCAGAAAAACAATGGGAAGTAAGAGGGAGATGTGCATTTTCAGCCAGACTTTATATTTCCTACATGTAAAATCTTTTTCAAGGTTTACATTGCAATAAGAATGCTGTCGTGTTTGTAAGTCGATGGGAATTCAGACCCCAAGGAGAGGCAGTGCCAAAGATGTAATGTACTACTGAGGTAGGTAAGTGCTGTGTTCCAGATTAATAAAACCAGGACTAGATACACCCCAGAAGTCAGTAGGTACAGTAAGAGGGTCAAAGAATCCAACAGTATATGAGTCTACTAATCAATCTTCACAAGCTAGTCTCAGTGCCGTACCCTCCCCAACCACAGAATTAAATCCAACTTTCGTCTAATAGGAGCATTCTAATTTGATGCATATATATATTGTCCTTGGCAGTCTGAAAAATGGGATATTGGCATACTTATAACAATAATGAGGTCTTGACTAGGTTAGCTAAGGAACTCAAAACTCTCGTAGAAGCATAGAATGAAGCTTATCTCTGGTGCAAAAAGGTGGCTTTTCTTCAGCAATTTGGTGCATGATAACTTCATTTATTTAGATGAACACCCACTATAAACTACATTAAGACTACTTCAAAGTCTTTCCATCCCACCTGACAAAAACAAATATGCACCTAAGCATGACTTCTCTTTGTAACAATTCCATCTTATTTTCTTACTATGAAAATGGAGGCACAGTTATTGAGACTTAAAGATTCGATGCAGAAGCAGCAAGCAAATACAGCCCAGCTTTTGCTTGTAGGAAACTTCTTAAAGGAATAAAGAATTGCTTTAAATGCGGGTTTTGCTCTTTGTAGGTAAAGAACTGGTCACATCCTTATTACATCCTGAAAATTTTTTAACTGGAAAAAAACATTGTGTCCCAAAGTTATTGATTTATTTTAAAATCTCTTCTTTCAACCAGTGGCACGGTTGGGCAAGCATTGGGCAGCGAAGTTTTAGGTGTGAGGTTCAAAACCACCAGCCACTGTGTGGGAGAAAGATGAGGATTTCTGCTCCTATAAAAATTTACAAGCTCGGAAATTCTACACACAATTGCTATGAGTTGAAATTAACTCAATGGCAGCAATTTTGGGTCAGTCGGGGGTTCGTTCAACAGAGTTCAAAACCCAGGTTAATTATATACTGCAGGTAGCAAGCGATCTCCATCTTTTCAAAGCTTCTGATCGGTTTCAAAATAGGAGTTTGGGTTAAAGCTCTTCCAGGCGTGAAAATGCAAAGAGTATTTAATTGAAAAAGCAAAAATTGTACTTTTGTTGTAATATATTGTCAACTATTTCCCTAAATTCCTGGATCCTGTCTATTTTGTTTATTTCTAGAAAAACTCCGTTTTTCTATACGTTTTTATACGTTTCTATACGTTTTTAAATCAACTTTATAAAGGCCATGTAACACTTTGACAATGGCCCAAATCAAAGCTGTTAATATATTCTTAAGCTTCTGATAGACGAGAATTCTGAGTGTCCGTAAAACGTTAAAATGATGTATAGATTATATGATTCTTCCATGTGTGGAGTGTCTTCTTTTTTATTTCTTATTGTGAATTAGGGGACGCTTTAAAGAGAAGATCAGTTTTCTATTCAACAATCTACACAGATCTTGTTTCACCTCGTTGAGTGCTAGCCCCACTTGGTAACATACTCATCCCACTGCCTGTCTCCTCTGTCTCCTTCCTCCTCCTTCCCTAACTCTTCGGAACTTTGCCCTGGGATGAGCCCTGTCCAGCATCTACTTTGGTTCCCAGTGGCTGCCTATTCTAAGGTGTGTGTACCTCCCTGGTGTTATTAGTCCCCTAGAGATCTGTCCGTCATTTGGCTGAAAATTAAGCCGCTGGTTGTGTTCATTTCCAAAGCCTAAGAACCCTAGTCTTAAGCTTTCCACCAGTCTGTATGTGACCAGTAAGCCTGGTATCTTTCATGATTTTGAATTTCATTCCACAATTTTCTCTCATTCTATCCGGGATCTTCCAATGTGATCCTTTTCAAAATAGCTGTTCATGGTACCCATGCAACGTCCACTTCCTCCAGTCTCAGGGCTACGGAGACTGACATCCATGTGGTCCAACAAAAGATTGTACTCATTGTTCCCACGCTTCTGTGAGTCTGTCACTCCTCCTTCTTCCACATAGGGAGATGCCACTAATTACTCCTCACAGTTTTCAAGATCAGTCCTGGTGGCATAGCACATTACACATTGAGCTGCTGTCAGCAGTTCGAAACCACCAGCTGCTCATGCCATGAGCAAAAGTCGAGGCTTTCTCCTCCTGTAAAGAGCTACAGGTAGGAGACGCACCGTTCTACTCTGCGCTACCGTGTTGCCATGAATGGGATCGCCTCATTGGCAGTGAATTTGGAGTTCAGTCACTTCTCAGCAAAGTAGGAGCTGGAATATTGTCTGTGAACTATGGTATGCTAATTGACCTTGTGTCCCACCTGCCCCCACTCCTCTCAAGGCTTCGTGATTCATTCTATTCCCTCACTGTGTCTGGTGATGTCTAAGAGGTTTTCATAACATTGCCTCTGTGTGCTCCACCCTATTCATGGACATATGAAACAAAGGTAAATACACAAGTACAATCATTCTCTGTCAAACACATATGTGTATATGTATGCGTATATATGTGCATGTTTATACATATATACACACATGGGTATCGTCCCATTTTCCCTCTCACACCTGTTTAGGCTGTGTATCTATCCATGCATCTGCCCATAGATCATTATTAGCCCCTCAGTATTAAATATTCTCTGCCACTTGCTAATACTGTGATTGTGTCTCCATCTCTCTAAGACTTCTTTTCCTCATCTATAAAACAAAAAAATGTATATGGATTGCTGAGTCGAAAACCAATTTACTCTATAAACTTTCACCCAAACCACAAAAAAAAGTTTTCAATTTTTAAAAAGAATACCCAATGTATAAGGCCACGATGAAGACCCAGTATGAGAGGCTCTGTGCAGCAGGATAAACGACAACAACTTCAAGAGGTTGGTAACCCCAGGCCCCACTCCCACGGAGGGACTGTTGCTCCTGCTGGTGGCACAGCTCTGAGGCAGGGAGGACCCTGCAGAGGAGTGCGTTCCAATTCTTACGCCTGATGCTCTCTTACAAAAGCCGCAAACGCGGGATCACTGGCACACAGTCCCAAAATTCTCGTTCTTTCTTGAGGGTCCTGTTAAAAAGAAGAAGAGGCGAGGCATTCCATTAGGAAAACCTCGACAGGGAGTTCTCAATCTTACAAGGAATTATGATTTCCTGAGTCACCCAGGAGAGGTCCATTTTGGAGAAACAGAAGGTTTGGATACTACTTGTACAGTTTTGAATAACTCAAAACCATTATTCTTAGAACCTTCCTAAGGGAGGGAGAGAAATTATTTTATTCATGATAATGGAAAGGGGACCATTGTTGGGGTGAGCGTACAGCTCTGAATCACACACAATTGCGTTACAAATAGGCAGGGAGCCATCATGAGACTAAAAAACAGCAACACTGAACACAAAAAAGGTTCATCTTTCCTGTAGTTCATGTACCAGAACACCCACCGCAGCGCAGCACGACAGAAAAGTGGTTTCCTACCTCTTGAGAAAGCGCACTGCTCTCATGCATCTGTCTGATTCCTTCTTTGCTGAAACCGCCAAACGCTTCTCTGCTAGCAGAGTTGGAGATGGGATGCAGGGGACAGGATCCCTGGTACTGCTTGCTTCCCGTCGTGTGGCTTCCGGACACAGGATGATACTGCACAGCATCCTCAGTGGATGAGAGGCTGTCAGGCTCTCTGCTGGTGCCATAAAAAAGAACACCCCCATCGCAAAAAAAGACAAAACACACACACACACACACACACACACACACAACGTCATGGTTAACGCATGTTCTCCTTCAAGTATTCAACTCTGTGGAAGAGGATTTCACATGGGCTACGACTCATTTTGTGGAAGGAAAAGACGTGCAGCAGACACAGATGGGGGGTGTGACTGAAAAATACTGAAATCAATCTCAACTTTGTGATTTACCAGGCTTGTCATCATTCTCTGTTCAACTAGATGCAAGGGTCCTGTAGAAATACTTCCATGTCTCATTGGTCTTTATTTGCCCCTACAGTTTTTGGTTCTCAATAAATGTTAATATTTAATAAATAAACACAGTTTTTCTTTTTCTCCAAATTTTTTATTATTTTGCTGGGTGAAGTTTTACAGAGCAGGTCATGAATTTTACATTCAACAATGAATTCACAGTTTTCAGCTCATTCATGGAAATCCCCTCAGGGTACCAAAGCGTGACCCACCACCTCCTTATGTTTCCTGTTTCCAATCCTCTTTTCCTAACCCTCTGAACTTTGTCCTAAGGTAGATGCTCCCCTTTTGATCGTAAATGGCTTATTATGTGAACCTGGAGGATTGTTCCGTTCTAGGCCTAAAGGGTAAGGGTCATGGCAGTCTTGGGGGGTCTACCAGTCTCTACCAGTGTCTATGACCTGATCTCTTATATGATGCTGAGTTCTGTTGTACAGTTTCCTCCCATTCGATTCAGGACCATCAGATGTGATCCTCCTCCGAGCTGCTGGGAGTGATCGCAGGGTACTATCTAGTTCTTCTGGTCTCGGGGTGTGGAGACTGCTGCGCCCCGTGCTCCTTCAGTTCATCGGACTAATTGTTTCCATGTGTGTTTTCATTTTCATCACTCTTCTTTCCTCGGGATGGAAAGAGACCAACAGGTACATCTTAGATGGCTATCCACAAGCTTCTACTACCCCACGGGCTACTCAGTGAAGTAGAACGTCAACACTGTCCTTGTGAACTGCCTTAAGCCGATAGACCTTGGTGTGCCTCAAGTCTAAGCTCCTAACCTCCCAGGCCAGAGACTCATCCCCTCAGGCGTGATGGTGTCCAGCAGCCTTTCATGACTGCCCCCTATGTGCTCCACTACATGAATGTATTTGCACCACACAGACAAATATCCTCTGTCAAACCTAAAATATATAGTTGTATGTATACTCCCACTCTCCCACAATTGTTCAGCCTACTCGTAGATCACCACGATTGCAGGTTGAGAATGCAAATAACAATATTTGCCTCTGTTGCCTCTGGCAAACATCCCAGAGTCTTCCCTTGCCTCCTTCCTTTTGTAGCTAATCGCCATGATATCTTGCCAGCCTCCCTCTTCTTGTGTATCTTCCTTCCCTTTCACCCAAGTTAACATTGATGTGTCCTTTAGTCCATGACTGTCCCCCACACACCTCTGGTAGCCATCAAAGAATGTACCTTTCAGTGTGAAACTCTTTTCTTCACTTTTTATAGTAGTGATCTCATGATTGACTAATTTCACTCAGCATTGTGCCCTCCAGGTTCATCCATGTCATGAAGTACATCCATGTACTCTATAATTAAGAACAAGTTTCAGAGTCTCTTCTGACATCCACTTTGCTCTTGTCTTTTTTCCATCTTTTTAATGACTTTGATATCCTCCCACAACTCATCAGGTCTTCTGTCATTAGATTTCAGTGCATCAAATCTGTTCATAAGATGTTCTTGAAATTCAGGTGAGATTTGGCTCTGATAGACTTTTTAAAAATTTTCTTCAGCTTTATCCTGAACTTACATATGAGCAATTGATGGCCTATCCACAGTCGGCCCCTGGTCTGGTTTAGTTGCTGGCATTGAGCTTCTCCATCGTGTCTTCCACAGGCATATTCAAGTTGATTTCTGTGCATTTCACCTTGGAAAGTCCAGGTGCACAGTCAGTCTCCTTTTGTGTTGCTGAAAAAAGGTATTTGCTGTGAACAAATCGTTTGTTTTGCAAAATCCTGCCATGGGATCTCCAGCTTCATTTTTATCACCAAGTCCATATTTTCCAACTACTGTTTGTTTCCAACTATTGCATTCTGGTCACCAGTAATTGTCGATATATTTTGATTGCATGTTTGACCAAGTTCCGACAGAAGTCATTGGTAGAATTTTTCTATTTCATCAGCATTGGCTTCCGGAGTTGGTGGATAAAATTGAATAATACACAACATCGACATATGACAAGTTGTTTCTAAGCCTTCCTCCAACCCTGTTGCCACAATCTTCTTCAAATAGTCCAACTTCTCAGAGTATCTGCTCAGCACACACACTGAATAAATATGGTGAGAAGACATAATCGGTGGTGCATTCAAAAAATGTAATAACCTGTTGACTGCCCCAATCACTGTTTTAAGTACAGTATATATAAAAAATATATACCAAAAGGTAGTTTATTATTTTCTACAATGAATACTTAAATAAAAACAATAAAAGAGGTATACAAAATTACATTGAGTTTTAAAATATGAATGAAAAAATATTAAATAATACCTGACCCCACAAAACAATAAAACAGTTAACGTATTTCCATGTTGCTTCTTGATTGGCGTCCTCACTTGCAATATTATTTGCTTTAATCCAAGCATCATCAGCTGTATGATTTATCTTTAACCATCTTTTCCCTGTAGGAGTAGGCCCTGTTCCTTTAGAGGTCAGCCAATTAGACAATAGCCATTGTGTTTGAAAAATTAGAAACAGGTGACTTGAGCTCTATCAGTGAGCTCCAGTGCTCAACACCACTACAGGACCCACAGCCTGGCTTCCACTCTGATCTTGCCTTCGAGGGGAATTCTGCCCAGCATCTGTGGGACCCTAGACCAAGCAGGCACACCACCCTGCTACCTTGAGGCAGGGTTGGATCTCCTCCAGCTCCACAGTCAGGCAATCAGACCTCAGTTATCTCTTCACTTACTTGTCTTTTTCTTCTCTATTTGTCCTCCCTCCTATCTTTCCCACTGCAGTAGGTCTCACCGGGCCCAGTTTTGTTTTGTTTTTTCTCTTTTTCTTTCTTTATTCTCTTCTCTCCCTCTCTTTTCTTTCACACACCACTGCTGGCTTCCAGGCCACTACCCTCCACTTAGGGCAACTTCTCCCAAACAGCAGGGGGAACTCCAGCCTGCACTCTGGGGGAGTGCTGCACACCACACGAGGCAGCTGTGACAGCCCTCTACAGCACTCCGCGCTGCTGAGGAACCCTCAATCTGGCCTCTGTGATGATCTTGCCGACCAGCGCAATTCCACCCAGCACCGGTGGGACCCTGCACTAAAAGGGCACACCAACATGACACTTTGGGACAGGGATTAAATCCCTCCGACCCCACATTCATGTGATCAAGGATTGGCTACTGCTTTAAGCTTTGTTTTTTTCTTCTCTCTTTCCCACTACAGTCAGTCTTAGCAAGCACAGTGGGGTTTTTCCCCCTTCTTTCTCTTTCTTTTTCTTCTTTTTTTCAAGTTTTCTGTTTCTCTCCTCTCCCTATCTTTCCTCCCACATGCCACTCACTGATGGCTTCCAGTCCCCTACACTCTGTCTAGGGCAACTCCTCCCATCCAGTGGGGAGAGCTCCAGCCTGCCCCCTGTGACAGTGCTGCACACTGCATAAGACAGTGCTACACACGGCACAGCACGGGACTCAGGGATCTCTTTATCTATTTTTTTCTTTCTTTTCTTCTTCTGTCACTTCTTCTTTTTCCTCTTCTTGTATTTCTTCTCTCTTTCCTGCCACAGTCGTAGCAGATTCAGTTTTTCTTTTTTGTTGTTTTCATTTTTTGACTCTTTGTTTTTGTTTTATCTTTGATTTGTGTGTGTGTGTTAGTTTCTTTATTTTCGCTTTTCTCTTTGTTTTCTCCTTTCTCTTTTTTTTCCTTCTCTTCTTCTCTCTTTCCTTTCACAAGCACGTCCGGCCTCCATGCCACTTCCCTCCACCTAGGGCAAACCTGATGGCCCAGTTGGGGGAACTTCTACAGGCATTGTTGGCTTTACACGGAGCTGAGGAAATCACTCCTGCCCTCACTACACCCTAAGCAGCTGGGGGACCTCCCCTTCAACTGGCTGGGAGAACTTCTGCCTACACCCAAAGGCCCTACAAGTAACTGGGGGAACTATTGCTGTTTCTGGTGCTCCACGCTTCTGAGGGAACATCTGCCCAACCTCCACAGAGATCTCTCCAACTCAGGTAATTCCACCCACCATCCACGGTGCTCTACTCCAAGGAAGGCACACCCCCCCACCCTCGGTGGCACTCCAGTTGCAGAGGAAAACACCACATCCCATCCGAGGCACTCCAAACCCTGTGGGACACATCACTATGGCTTCCTGGGAGATCAGACAGTGAAACACCATCCTCATGCACCCACAACCTCCCGACCAGTGTCCCATGAGAGGACTATCCAACTCACATTCCAAATAACACAATACTGGTTGGCTAGGGTAAGAGTGAAACCACAGGAAGATACAGCAATAGCCTAACCCTCCAGTGCAGCTACCTGCAGGTGGTTCAAAGAAACACTCA